TAATTAACCTGTTGGACTTTTTGTGTCAGTACAGTCAAATCAAACTTGTTATATAGATCAAGTTCATCAAATTAGTTAATATATATTTATTTTGATTTTTAGATGTTTTGATTAATTCATGTTTTTTTTATATGTTAATCCCAGACACAAGGAGGGTTTGTGTTGCAACTTATGGCTCAGCAGTGCAGCACTAAAAATATGTTTTGACTTTCTGTTATCCTCTGAAAAAAGATGTTTTACTGAGTCATTTTCTCTAAATGTGAGGGTTTCACGTCACTGAGTTCAGGTGTTTCCCATGCTTCCCTCACCAGTGACAGCAGGTTGACGGAGGACTCCATAGCTTTGATTTGCACAGCCTGAGAGTCCAGCAGTCGGATCACAGTGTTGGCCACGCTGTTGATCTGGTAGGTGACACTGGCTAAAGCCTGGGTGGCCAGGGCTTTGGCCTCTTCAATAGCTTTCGTTGGATCCTCTGCCTGTAGGAGGAAAAAAAAAACATAAATGTATCCACTTGTGAAATTGTGCTTGTAGTTATTTGAATTGCTCAAAGTTTTCTGAGAGTATCAAAAAAGGTTTCGTATTACTACAAAGTTGTTTGTGCAGCTTTCAGATAAAAYGTTACACATCAAGACATGGAGCTCAATCAGGATTAGGGGGAAAAGGGAGCTATGATTTTTGGTTATGTTATGTCAAACAAACTTGACAACTTTTACCATTTTTTTCTGCAGAATGTTCAGTTGAGTGTTGGTGATTGCACTCGCAAACAAACTCTCTCCTCAACCTTGTTCTCTACATTTACAAATTCTGCATCAAAACACTAGTTTTGCCCTCTTTCACTAAGTGTCTCTCACAGCTGTAGGAGAAACCAATTCCTCTCAAAACCCATCAGAATGCAGAGAACTTCCACAGACGTCTGACTTTAGCTCAAATATTCTCCTGAAACCGTATTCATTTGTGGAATCTCCTGCATAAAACATGGCAGAAACATCACATGTGGGTCCATCAGAATCTTTTGCTGTTCGTGGTTCAACAATTTTTAACATCAGACTTTTAGTTAAAAAAAAAAAACGCTCACGGCTTTCTTTTTAGTGTGCGTTTCTGTCTGCCTCTAATTAACTTGGCAGTCAGGGAGTGACAGACATGGGTTTCCATGGTGATCATACTGAGCCACTTTGGTTTTCTTATCACTATATTTTTCAGTTTCTACATCAAATTGTTGTCATTTTTGCAGATTTGGGCTACACTGTAATATACAGGTATTTAGGCAGTTTTAATGGCACATTTTCTTCAGAAAAGCTGGAGCTCTTATGAAGCAGTTTTTTTAATGAGCTGCACTCACCTGGAGATAATTCTTTTCGCAGTAATCTGCCACTCGGAGGAGGTTGCTGTGGTTCTCCAGCAGGTCCTTCCTGGCTCCTGGCGCCTCCTGTAAAATCTGACTTATAACTTCTGACAAACTCTGCTGTTCCGTCCTTTCTCCCATGGCTGTCAAACCCSAGCTAACAAATACTCAAACACTAATAAATGCTTAATAATAATTTAAAAAAAGATGGAAAACGTTATTATTAATATTTTGGACAGAAATCAGTCGAAGCAGGGAGGCGAGGAGTCGGCGGAAAAGGCGGAAAATACCTGAGGGTAGAGATTTCAGAGCAGCTGTCAGCAGGGCAGGGCTGCTCAGGTCCACCTCCACCATCACAACTAAACTATCTCACAGCGGAATCTACTATAGGCTACTTATTAACTATCCTTTCCCCATTCTATTAAAACAACAATTTATATCATAAAATAGTTTTTATAATATCAAATCCAACAGCTTCGTTAAAAAATAAATACATAAAATAAATACATAAATAAACACTTTATATAAAGTCCACTAGATGGC